ATGAATGTTGTAGTCTTGAATTGGCAGTTCTCATGTGGCTTTGGGTATCATAATACATGCATTTCATAAAAAAAACATTTTTATTGCATTATTACCTATATTTAGCCATTACTGCTTGCACTAGGTCACTTTTGGAAGGAATGTATAAAAAGTAGAGACTCTTAGCTTTCCATTGATATATAACATAATGGGGTTGTTTTAGATTAAAGTAACCTAAAATGAGTAAAACAAAAGTAGTACCAAACATTTCAGTAGGGTCTGGAAACCCCAGCACAGGGAGTGTGTATAGGCCAGAATGGCCAGCAGGACAAGGGTTAACATTCATGTCATAACAAGAAACATTTCTCAGCAATGAATGGGGAAAACGACAAACCATAAGTTAACTATTTCTGTGTGTCCAGTAATTTGTGTAATATTCCAATATACATGTATAGTTAGGTATATTGATGCACATGGATTTGGGTTGAAAAATTTGTCAGGAGCTGGAGGACAATTCATTTCTACAGTAACACCCAGGCTTCATGAAAAACTATCTACCCGAAACAGATGACACGGTTAAATGCGTATGACATGATATATGCCTGTATATTGATTATTATGGCTACTTGTATCGACCTCGACAGAGGAAACAGTTATCGGAACATTGGTTATTTACAACGGCACAATAGACGACTGGAGACGGGAAAATTATCACTAACCACTGGCTGTTAAAATACTACATTTATCTTCCATGGATATAATTACCATATAGTATGGGTCAACACATATACGGGTCATATATTCCTATGTGTAATTGATGATAAATGTTCCAAAAGATAAAGAAAGGAAAACAGCATGGTGGTACAGAATTGATATCTATCCCTTTCATACAGGGCAAGACATATACCATAAAACAAGGATGGAAAACCTAATAAAATTTCTTTTACAATGAAAAAATTATTGCTTTACACGAGATTAAAAACTTATATGACATATTTCTAATGCGATACATTTTATCTATCACAGTAAACCGCTACGAAGAAAGTTTACGACTCGAAGCTTAACCGAAGCTAAAACGATCCAGTTGCACAATAATAAATCGTGTTGCAGAGGTGCTATAGGCAGTAGGCAGGTCAGTATATAGATTTCCGGTAAGCATGCAAAATACTGTTCTAAAATACATTACACAGTCTGCGCTCCAATATGACAGGCTTTTGGCACCAGACACTAGTTCAGCAGGGTATGTCTGATAGGAAAGAAAAACCCTTGCCCACAGTTGCCCATTTGAAAACTCAAGTGTCAGGGTGTCCTAACTATTGACTAACGTTGGTTTAGACTCTGTTTGCAAGCTTTCTCCCCTCTCTGTCATATCACCAAACTGCGAAGCGGTCGTCGCCAATTTAACTTGCCACAAAATAGCAAACTGCCGGGTGGAATCTTGCACCAGGGCCAAAAACAAACCCTTTCTCACTTGTCTGGTGGTCTGTGTATAGCACAGAGGTCAGCTCACTATTTGTACAACTACAAGTATAGAATACACTAGAAAACTAACAAAGGTGAAAGGATGGA